CGGCAATAAATAATATATACCCTGCTGCTATCATAACACAGAAGGCGAAGAAAACATTTATTTTCTAATTATCTCGGCTACTGAGATACTGCGGGCTGCATATCGATGCGAGATAATTTGACGTATATATTTAACGTTCTAATAAAGAAACAGGAAATAGCCGCAAATATCATTCAGCATTCATTATGTATCCGTCGACCATTTTTGAGCCGTTTCTTCAACACCGCAGCTTCGCTTCTTCTTGCTGTTCCGGACCTGTGTCCCACGCCACCGCCGCTCGCCGACTACGCGCGCGCGCCGGCCTGCACAACTTGTATAGCCCAGTCCAGCGACGTAGCTACGAGAAGATATACACGAGTCTCACGCCGGCAAATGGAACGCACATAATAGTTGTATTTTGATTAATCTTTATTGGTCATAATGTAAGAATTGTAATTGGCTAGGCAAATAAAAATTGTTATTATTGGTAAACTAGCGACGTAACCGGACATATAAATATAGGCAGGGTCGACGTAAAATTATATTCCATATTCCATATTCTATACTCCATACACCACTCGTCGGCACATAAAATAGTAATTTCATTTCTCCACCACTAGACCACTCGGAATCCGTTAATAGTGGACCTCATATCATCACTATTACAACTCCTTTACTAAGAACCACTTCATTAGATCCTACAAAATACATTTATGGTGCAAATAAAATGCACGTTTTCTCTCAACCTCACTACTTACCTGTTATGCGAAGAGAGTTCGATACGCTGGAAAGAGTTATAATATCGAGCACAGGACAAAAATACCATTCCAGTTTGGAACCGTGTGTATTAAACTACATTTCCGAAAATTATAATAATGAATTCTCTTCGTGATCATCATAAATGTCCATATGAAAATTATTATACTTACACATCAAGCTGGGTCAGGAGTTGGAGTAATTTATAAGGGTTCACCATACCAACGTGGTCATGGTATTGGGAGCTTCTTAGGGGGGTTATTTAGATCAGTTTTACCTTTACTTTCAAGTGGTGCTCGAGTGATTGGTAAGGAGGTATTAAGCGCTGGAGTAGGACTTTTATCGGATATGGTTCAAGCGCGTCCTATGGAAGCCTCAATAAAAGATCCTCTTAAGCAAGTTAGTACGAATTTAAAACGAAAGGCTGATGAGAAAATTGATCAGTTTAACATAACAGGATCTGAATGATTCTGAATGATCTGAAAAATTCTATCATTCGTAGTCAACATTTTTAAAAATTGCTTTTCTGCTGAATCACCTTTGTATGCGATCACTTCGTCTTTTCACAAATTTCTAATGTACCAATTTAATATGGGAATAATGTTCTCTTGTTTGTAGGCACATTTTATTTCTTCGGTCACATCAAAATATGGAATGCCGTGCACGTGTGTTTCGCAATAACGAACAGTTTTTTTTGTTTTTTGGCGACAAATAATTGAAAGGATAACTTGGCCGAAACAAATAATGATCGATAAATGCATAATTTTTATTAGATAGGTTTACGTCTAGAATGCAATTTCTTTACGTTGAAAATGTTTATGAGGATATGTAATGTAAAATCCATCCATGTCGATGATGTATCTAATATTTTTTAGATTTTGTGTCATTTTGAATCAAAAAGTTAAAAGTATTTACACGTGACTAAAAATATGTTTGTTCCAACAAACTTCACATAACAATGCTTCATTACTTCCCATCATCCCATTTCTTCCTTCTGCTCTTGTCTTCCTGTAATTTAAGTAAACAGAATCACATTCACTAATGATCAACTAATGACTGTCATTGTTAAAAAAGTATTTTTTAACTTTTTCACTTTCTGCTATTGTCTTTGTATTCAGGGCTAGGAAATGTCCGCCGCGCTGCCTCAATGGGTGTTGGCGAACTTCACATGCCTTCGAAATTTTCTCAGACATACAGGTTTATTTACAATTAACAATTTAATTGGTGCCGGCGGGGATCGAACCGGGTCGCGTACTGTGAAATTTACAGCTTGCGCTAACCATCTGAGCTACCACGGTTTAATCATATACACACACAATGTTTAAATATAATTTGTTAACACTAAATCATACACACGTAAGAAAATAACAGAAAGAAAATTAAGTTTGTCAATAGAATAAACACTTACATCCATGGCCTTTGATGCGTTGACGTCAAACGACCATACACTAACTCCATAACTGCAGCGCCCTGGTTTTATATAGCACCAGTAAGTAATAATTCTAATCTAAAGAATTTCTGCAGTGTAACTGATAGTAACTTTATGCGTCAACAAGCTTATCTCACATTCTATTGCTTATCTCAACTTTCCTTCGTGATTCGTCACGTTCGATGTATCGATGACTCAAATACGATTTGTATAACACAAAAGAATGCAATTTAATATTTAGAAATTACTATAATTGATCATTCCCATGTTAGTCATTGAGTAGATTGGTACTGTAATAATCTACTAACAGCAGTAATATCATGGATGAACTAGATGTAAACAACATCTGAAAAAGTTTCACCCCAGTCTAGAAAATAATGTTTATGCTAATGATTTCTTAATAATGATAAAATCCGTAAATTTAGTTTTATTCAATGTTTATGCTGCTAATAGACTGCCCATGTATACCTACGTACCAACGTATATAATATGCAATTTGGATACAGATGATAAACCAGGGTCACATTTGGTAGCTTTATATATCGATACGAATGACGTCGGTCAATATTTTGATTCATATGGACGATCACGTGTACGATATCATCTAAAGTTTTTAAAAAGGAATTGTAAAAGATGGAACTGGAATATTCATAGGATTCAGAATGAGTGGGCTTCAGTTTGTGGCGAATATTGCTTAATGTATTTGCTATATAAGTTTCAGGGATGTTCAATTCATAGTTTTTCGAGTATATTTACAGGGAACACATTGTACAATGATATTTTAGTGGATGAGATGTTTCGCTCCTATTTAATAGACAATAAGTAATAAGATTTTGTATTTTGTAAATAAAAGTTGTAACAAAATTAGGTAATGTGTTTTATTGATGATTCAGATTAGCGTTGTAGATAGAAGAAGTATAATACAATAGCACTGATAAGCCGATGCACACGGCGAGGAAGTATAGAAAATGACAATAGATAAGAACAATGGACGCTAATTACGGTGGAGGCCCTCACCGGATATCAATTAGATATTAGCTAATTGATCTACACATCTCCGGAACAGTGCATGCTACACAAAGACGGACCGCAGATTCGTGATCAGAGCATGCCAAAACCTTTTTTTTTTAGGATCGTGAGTCGATAAACGTTCTACCACTTCTGGCTCACTGAGTCACGTAACTACTATCTTACTCCGGGATAGATGCATCCTGGAGTGAAGATCGTTAATAATAATAATAAGCCTTTCGTAGACACAGTTGCCTCCCTCCACTGCCTACGTTTTGGTGACCTCTTTGGGGAAACGGAGGGTTTTGTCTGTGCGATACGGGATCAGGTTATTAAAACCAACAACTATCGGAGATACATCCTGAGGGATGGCACCGTCGACATCTATCGAGCTTGTCGCCATCCCGGTGAGTCACTTAGGCATGTCATCTCTGGTTGTTCGGCGCATTCTAACTCTGAGTACTTGCACAGGCACAACCTAGTAGCCAGAATTTCACACCTGGAGCTCGCTCTGAAATACGGTCTCGTGGACCGGAAATTGCCGTATTACAAGTATTTGCCGGAAGCCATGCTCGAAAATGATCGCACCAGGCTCTACTGGGACCGGGCCATTATCACAGACAGGACTATTCTTGCGAATAAGTCAGATATTTTGCTGATGGACCTTGCAGAGTCAAGAATATTTTTGGTCGATATTACCATTCCATATGACGAGAAGTAGAAGTGAAATAATTAATTAAATACTAATCCGACAAATGGCTCAACAATATTATGTCTAAGTGGTTAGTTGTGTGGTACAAGAGCAAAGCTGAAGAGATACTCCATAAATGTGTCACACACTTATATTAATATTCAGACGTTATAACAACCTTTAAACGTTAAAAGAACTTTTTCTGTATTCTACGTAAAAATAATTGAAACGTAGTCAGTAGTGACTCAGTTGTAATATTAACTTTTCTAAAAAGAAACAAAATATAACATGTAAAAAGTACATTTTGTATTGGCGATTTGTTAAACATAACCAATATTACTTACAAGTTTAGACTAAATGTAAAATTAATAGGTAGATGCCAGTGTGTAGTATATGAGTGTGTGTGTTTGTTGACCTATCGAAGACTTCATAAAAGTAAGGTACTTCGTCTTATCAGTGTTCATGGTTAGCAAATTCATTCTCAGCCAAGTCATAACTTCTTCAAGGCCAATCTGTGCTAAACCAATGCATTCATGCCAGGAGGGTGCATGAAACAATAAAACAGTGTCATCAACATAGGCAACAATTTTACAGACGCGCATTTTAAGCCCACATAGATCATTCACATATATGAGGAACAAGGTAGGGCCAACTATACTATCTTGAGGCACACCATAGTTAATATTATTTTTTTTCACCGTGTGCTTCTAATTCGTCCAACTTGAGTTCTATTTAATATTATTAATATAGTTAATTGCTTTTGGACTGACGTTTTTGTGATGATTAAATATCAAGTTTTTTCCGCAAATGCGATATTATCTTTATCAGCTGTCCATTTGTTTAAGCTATCGTCAAAATCTCTGCAAATCTCCCAAAACTTTGCAATGTGAATATCGGAATATTGTGCAGAATTTTGTAAACAAAATACACGTCAAACTAGGCTGTATGGACATAGTATAGCCCCTTCCTTTGCCTTTGTAATAAAAGAAATCTGTCAGACTCACAAGTTCACAAGATCAATTTTATAACCTCAAAAATACACACGGGTGAATGAAAAACAAGTTGTTGTTTTTATGTAAAGAAACAAAAATATAAGTTGAAAACATAGTATCATTATTGAGTATAATTGAAATTGGAATGAGTACTGCATATTTTTATTTCGAAGTGGAGGCCGATCTGTAAGTGTTGGATTGCATAATTTTTCATCTTTATAGCTTTTGTGGTAACTAGATAATAGAATGTTGCTGAAAAAATAGACGTAAAGAGCGTTAATAAATTTATATTCTTATTCGAATTTACTTGCTATCTATTATGTGACTAAAAAAGCTTCAAAAGATTTAATACTTCAAATAGAAATAAGCACAGAAATTAAGTACATAGAAATACATGTATATTCAATTCTGTTTAGAATGAATAGTGAAAAAGTTATGAAAGTTCCTTTCTAAAACTTGTTAAACAGGGCTTTAAATTGGGATAGTGTTAGAAAAGAATATGATTCTTAGAGTACTGTCTTTTTGACATAGAAATATATGTATATTCAATTCTGTTTAGAATGAATAGTGAAAAAGTTATGAAAGTTCCGTTATAAAACTTGTTAATCAGGGCTTTAAATTGGGATAGTGTTAGAAACGAATATGATTCTTAGAGTACTGTCTTTTTGAGAGATTAATGTGCTTTAAAAAAATCATGTAGTAAAAATTAGGTCTTAGTCTCAGGATGAATTGTGTGCAAGATGTTACTGTCATTTCATGTTGCTACTGTCAGCACTAAGAAAAGCCATCTATATTTTTTATTTAACTTCCTTCACATCAGCTCCTAAATAGCCACAGCTGAAAAATGACTTCTAACATAGTGTACGGAATTTGCACATAATGACTGCTACGGGAAGGCAGATTGGCAATCAAAATACCAGATGTCTTGCACTTTTGGGGTATGTTCCAAAATAGAACCCAGTGAACTGTCCAATGCAAATGACGTCATGAATCGACGCTATGCTGGTGATTCGTTCCAAAACATAAGACAGTATATGACATCATACATTTGCGCCATATTGGAAATGTGTTCACGTTTATTTTGTCATTTTGTGCTCCAAAAATCATTATATCCTCTTAATGGAGATACCAGAAACTATGCTATAATTTTTGTGTTTGAATAAATAAAAACAAATTCTGGCATGCTTCATTCAGCGGACACACAATTAAAAATTGTTTTATTATGGCCAGATATCCGACACAATATGGCGGCGGCACGCCAGTACAACATAGTGTCAATTGATGACGTCATTTGTATTCAGCAGTATACTGAAAACATTTTGGAACATATCCTTGATGTTACTTCTTGTCACTTATCTGGATAATTATATTGGTGGAAAATGTATAGTTTAATCATCATTAATCTGTTTTAGTTGCCTTTTCAATGGTTAATATTTTATTATTATCCATATAGGTACATTTCTTTTGTAAAAAATGTTATAGAGAAATAACATATTAACAGTTAGGCTGATTGCCAATTTCTTAAGGCATTTATTGTAGTGATCTTGAGATCACCTTTTAAATAACCCCCTGCTGACATGTAGCTCATGTAGTTTAAATATTGTGAATTTACCATAATATCTGATCTTTGTACTTAGTCACCTAAAGTATCAAACCTCTAGTACTTTAGATGCAGCTGTTTAGTGTTTCCAGTCCAGCATAATCTAATTCAGTGGTTCTTCACCGGTGGTCCCAGGACAACTGGTTCCAGAAATATCCATAACCGGTTCTCTCAAATATATAAAAGTGTACAACATTTGTGGAGGTGACATTTGGTTCGTGAATACTACCAATGTGGTTTATAACAATCAACTTTCAGACGTAATATTGTTATGTCAAAAAGTTGGTGGTCCATGGCAAACAAAAATTGGTCAAAGGTCCCTCTTCGGTAAAAGGTTAAGAAAATAATATGATCTGGATAGTGGTTTGGCCATTGTCTTTAGGTCTCTACATTCTTGGGATGACCCATGTTGGTTTGGGAACTAAAGGCTTCATGTTTATATGGGACTGATAACAATAAAGTGTGTTGATTAAAACTACTTTTACGGATTTTTTCCGAATAAAAGAACACATAGCTGACGTGAAGGATCAACGTTCCGGGAAGTCTGCAGTTTGCGATCATATACTAGATGGCCCCAACCATTACATCAGATTTGATAGACCACAAATCCTCGCGAAAGAACTTCGATTCCTACCAAGGATGATACGTGAGGCTATTGAAATTAAAAAACATCGTAATTTCAATAGAGAAGGAGGCTGGGTACTACCACCTGCTTGGGATCCTATAATTAATAAAATTAAAACTAAACCCAAGCATACCACTGCAAGACTTCAAAATACAGTTAGTTCATTCTGCGTAGATCGGACCAAAGACAATAATAAAAAAGCTGAAGGTACTCCGGGTTAACTTTGACATCGGGACGTCAGTCACCTCAGTGCCCCGTGACCATGGGTGCTGGAAAGCACCCGAAACGTCGGGTATTAAAATTAATATAAATAAAACGCGATAAAATCCGTAAAAGTAGTTTTAATCAATGTATAGTGTTCGCGTAAATATAAGAAATCAATAAAGTATGTGCTAACTGTGGTACTCAACTAGTATGTTGTGATTGTGTAGGCGATTGGGTTAGCCACCTATCACTACTTTCACAATATTCCATCTAAACCCATATTTTTTTCTAATCATGGTCTTATTTTATGACTTTGCCTACCCCCTTGGGGATTACAGGTGTGATGCTATATCATCATCATCATTACAGCCCTTCACAATTCTACTGCTGAACATAGGCCTCCCCCAAGTAACGCCACAAAGCATGGTCCTGAGCCACCTGGATCCATCGACTTCCTGCATGTCTTACCAGGTCGTCACTCCATCTAATGGGACGAAAACAACGGATTAGTAAGCTGAAGTGGCAATGGGCCGGCCATATAGCTCAAAGAACCGATAACCGATGGGGAAGAAAGGTTCTCGAGTGGCAGCCTCGTACCTGTAGGCGTAGTGTAAGGCACCCCCACTAGATGGAGTGATGCTACTAATTATGTATTTTTGGGTAACTATAGGATAATATTTACCACAGGTAAAAACTGATAGAAACCAATCGACTGCTGTGAGAAAATAAAAGGAGTGTGAAATTTGCTATTGAAATATCTCTCATCCAATGTGAGTATATATTATACTTTAATGTCAATATAAAACAGGAGCGGTGAAATGCGACCAGAGCTAATAGTGCAACAATTGATAAGTGAAGCGGGAAAACAACTTTTTGGTGAATGTGGGGCCCCCCAAGCTGACGTATTGAAAGTGAGTCCAAGAGGAAATATTTTGCTACGTGTTCACGCACATCAACACCGTCGCTTACGTGCTGCACTCGCTCTGTGTCCTAAAACAGTGAGAGTATGTGCAGAAGCACCATCACTCCAGGCTCTAATTTAACAGCTTTAATCAGGTTCAGAATTTTGTATATAATTACTAAAATACTTAATACTAAAACTGTATGTTTATTACATTTCATGCAAACTTATTGACTACCTCATTAGTCTACCTGTGGTTGTGAGGTCGAATCCCAGGTAGGGTTAAAGAAACAGCTCTAGGGTTTTTCTGACTGTGTTTCATCCCTGTGCCTTCGAAAAGATGTAAAACTGTCCTGTGCCTGACTTATCCCTGTTCGTGTTGGATTGCCATTCCATGCAACTAGTTGACTGAGGGAATAGAGAGTGCACTTGGGCTTGACCACATGTGCACTATCAAAAATGCAGCATATCTTGCTAGTTGCATTCAGTAGATTTGTTATACTCACTAAACTAATTATTTTTTCTCAATATACTTATAAATTTCATTTATTGAAAGGTCTACTAGTCACTAGTTTAACTTAACCTTTATCCTGTGGAGTGTGTAAGAAATCCAGTGGAATTTTTTAAATTAACAGTTACAATAAAATGTATGTGGTACAATAAATTACAGGAAATCACTTGGTAGCAATCATCTCATTCATATGAGTTATTGACAACCTTGAGTACATGAAGTTTCTGATATCATCATAATATAGTCCTCTAAAAGTCCACTGATGACTGTAAGACCTCCTTGGAGGTATGTCACAAGGTCTCCTGTGAGCCACCTGCATAGATTGACACTCATCTATGAGAGGTGCCCTATTCAACTGTTCTGCTTATTTCCTGTTTGGTTTACTATTATGTAAGCTCATGATGTGTATGTGGTTGCATGTGGCATAAGAGAATCCAACATCTCATCCTCATTATCGTCAAGTTGGTATTGTAAGAGGCGATAGAGATAAATTAAGTAGGAAATAAGCAGTGTCATCTCCCTGATAATAACTCAATAATAATAAAAAACCTACACTGCACTAACATCCTTGCCAAACCTGGAAACTATGGCAAATGTTTTTCCTATTAGGCAAGGTATGATGGAGACACCAAGTTAAGTAGGAATTTCAATAGGTTGTAATGAGTTTTGTATGCAGTAGTCTTAGCTATATTACAGTTGTGTTGCATGAGTGGGTCAGCTCTACTGAGGAAAGACCATGCTTTTACGGAATATCAGTATATTAATAGAATCAGGCGTTACTTTGTGGAAGTCCATTATATTGAAGTTGTTAGAACTTAATTTGCTTATTTCCATGTAATGAAATAAAATGATGTGTCCTGAATGATACGGTGAATGATATCGGTATAAAATAACAGCTCAATGCTAATGTGTCTTGTATGGTGAGTGCATATAACCAGATACCCTTATTACTGGAAATGAGACATTAAATCTTAATCCTCAACGGTGACATCGCATCTGCATTTTGATTTTTAATTAAAGATACAATGTAAGTGCCTAAGTGCTTGTTTGCCACCCTTGTTCTACAAAATTAGTTTTCTTTTTTTTTTTTTTTTGTAATTCCTCGTTTCCAGTAAAAGGGTTTTCTCTCCACTCACCATACAAAACACAGCAACATTACACTGCAATTTTGTGAGACCGCAGTCCTACTTTAGTCGAGCCGACCCATTCAAGCTACAACCATTAATATAGCTGCAGCGTGGCACTTTTTTTGTCATCTTTATTCTATAAAAATGCTTTTTTAATTGCCTCCCACTGTGGAAGCAAATTAAAAGATGTATTGATGTGAGAATGATGTGGGTGGGCCAGCATGTCGTTGCGCGAAGAGTGGACGGGCCCCGGCGGCAAGGACCTAGTGGTGGTGGCAGCGCGTGAGGCGCTGGCGGTGCCCAGCCGCGCCGTGCTGCCGGAGCCGGCGCCGGCGCCCGGCCTCATCAACGCCGACGGCTCCATTAACTGGGGCTGCCCGTGTCTCGGCGGTATGGCTACTGGGCCCTGTGGCACCCAGTTCCGCGACGCCTTCTCCTGTTTCCACTACAGGTTACTTTACACAACTTTATTGGCTTCAACCAAAGACAGCCCCCACAATTACATCAGGTTTTGATAGACCAGAAATACTTGCGAAAGTACATTGATTCCTACCAACGGTATAATATGTGTGGCTTTTGAAATTTAAAAAATACATCCTAATTTCACTAGAGAAGGAGACTAGGTATTACCACCTGCCTGGGATCAAGTAATTAATAAAATTAAAACTAAACCAAAGCATACTACTGCATAACTTCAAGACACAGTAAGTTCATTCAGCATAAATTGGACCAATAGTAATAATTTAGAACCTTAAGGTACTTGGAGTTAACTTTAACATCGGGACATCGATCACCCAAGGACTTCTATGTATGTACCAGACGAGCTCTACGGCCACAATACATTAGGCACTAAGTTAAGGTCAAATCCGTAAGTCCTTTAGTCGACTGCGAGCGGGTGGTGCAACTGGTGACGGCTTTGGCCTCACCCGTATGTGCGCCGTATTGTGACGGTGTAAGAGTATCCACTACGGTATATTATCCCATGTGGGTGTTAGTTGTTGTTTAAGAGGCCCACCCATTGTACCAGCATCTCTAAGTAATAAATAACAGCAGTAACCAACACACCTGGCTAGCATAGGAATCATGGCAAAAGAAAGGGCATATGTACGTTGATTAGCTGTAATTAATAAATATAATGTAGTTTTTTAATTCAGTTTCCCACGATCTCGGGATGTCTAAAATTTTAAATTATCAGAAATTTTGCAAACATGTTTATTACTGACAACTAAGTATACAATAATTTCAGAACTATGGCTTAATATTCTCACCAGGATTATTATAGCCCATGACTAATGCATGTTATTTTAGTTTATTAAAGTCTAATTTTACATATTGTCAACTTACAGGAAGGCGCTAGCTGGTCTATACTCACCATCTCACACAGTTGTGAAATATGAGAAGTGTTTTGCTCTTAAGACTTCTTGGACATGGAGCCGTAGCCGCAATGTTAAAGTTACCGTTACAGCCTTTTAAAGTTCACTACTGTACAAAGGCCTCCCCCACAGATTGCCTCGTAGGGGGGGTATTTTCCACAGTAGTCACGCTTGTCAACTGCGGTGTTTTACTTTTAGTTGTTATTTTAGTTGTTACGAAGACGCTGCTGCTCATCTCCTGATTTGTTACTCTGTCGCCTCGTACGACACCCACGCGATTATATGGGGTAGTGGATATTTTCACCCCGGCACCACACGGTATATGCCGTACCGCAATAGCAAAATTCTCGTTTAAAAACACCGGCGGCCAACACACAAGCACAAACAACATCGGTGAGGCTATTACACGATCTTTACTTGTATTGTGTCTCCACATAGCTGCTCATGTACGACTTGGTATAGAAAGCCTTACTTATCTAACATAGAAAGTTATGTTTATCAAAATTTTTTTTACAAACAATAACAAAAGCGGACTTAACACCTTAAGGCGTTCTCTGCTAGTCAACCTATAAGTAAGCAGGGAACACTGGAGATGCAATGAAATTTGTAAATGAAAGAATTACCGCATAGCCTGCAATTAAAATGGTTCTCTTATCGTACAGACTGGAACATAGCATTAACATTTCTAAGCCGTAAAGGAGTCGCCATCTTGACTACTCTAAGAACATAAAAAAAACAACTAAATTGGTTAAATAACATTGGAATTTTAATTACAACATGCATTTCAAAATATATAGTGCCCGCTTTTCCATATCTTAGAGATACTCTGCAGGTAATTATGGTTGTAGCACGAATGGGTCGGCTCGATTCGGGGAAGGATCGTGCTCTCACAGAAAACCAGCGTAACATAGCAGCTCAATTCTGCTGTGTTTTGTATGGTGAGTGTGGAGTACCGAAGACCCTTATTACTGGTTAAGAGGCATTCCATCTTAGTCCGCAGGGGTAACAACGCATCTGCATTTTGATTCTTAATCGAGGATAGATATGTTTATAGGTACAATATCCACTTACTATTAGACAGACTGTGTGCTCGCTTGTTGTAGCCCTATTTTGTATAAAAACATTCAGACACATATGTTACAAATTTAGTTATAAAAGCCAGTGTACGTCGTTGAACAAAGTGTGCCTGAGTTAGTACCTGTGTTCGCACGCAGTGTGTGAATGAAGCATTTGTTGTTCGGTTGCAGTGAAACGGAACCGAAGGGCAGCGACTGCTACGAGAAGTTCAGCGTGATGCAGGAGTGCATGGCGCAGTACCCCGAATTGTACGGCAAGGTATGTGTACGGCAATTCATTTCATTTCTTATTGTTTAAAGAAAATCAAAAGTTTTTTTTCCTTTTTTATGATTATTTTATTTATATTATATCATTTTTTATGATAAGTTCATAAATTTTCTTTTTATGTCATAGATTAATATTAACATAGACTTAACGTAGCATAGTGAGTGAGCTGGTTGAAAGAACACAATATTTAATACATATAACTATTAGACTTAAATATTAATTTTCATTAAGTCCTTAGTAAAGTTTTATAATAGGTACTAAATTATATCCAGCGATTGCTCGCGAGTTGACTTAATATGTGGTGGCTCTGACAGAATATCAGCGCTGTGGTATCTCTCTTACTGTAACATTATTTTTTTTATAGAAGAGCGGGCAAACGAGCATGCGGTTCACCTGATGTTAAGTGACTACCGCCGCCCATGAACATCCGAAACACCAGAGGAATTGCAGGTGCGTTGCCGGCCCTTTAGAAAGGAGTAAGCTCTTTTCTTGAAGGTCCCTAGGTCGTATCGTGCGGAATGGTAAACTATTCCACAGAGAGGTCGTACGCGGAAGAAAACTCCTAGTGAAACGTACAGTGGTGAACCGCCAAGCATCCAGATGGTGTGGATGGTATCGGGAGTTTTGCCGCGTAGCGCGTTCATGAAATTTGGCCCCTGGGATTAATCCAAACAATTCCTCAAAGCACTCTCCGTGATAGATGCGATAAAATACGCAATGAGATGTAACATCTCTTCGCAGCGCCAATGAATCGAGCCGTTCAGAAAGCACTTGGTCGTCAACGATTCGAGCCGCTCTGCGCTGGATGCGGTCAAGTGGAAGGAGCTGGTACTGGGGAACTCCAGCCCAGAGATGGGAACAGTATTCCATGTGCGGCCGAACCTGCGCCTTGTAAAGTTGCAGGCGGTGTGCCGGCATGAAATACTGTCCCGCTCTGCTGAGCACGCCAAGATTTTTAGAGGCCAATTTGGCCTTCTCTTCCAAGTGACCACGAAACTGCACACTATTCGATATGTCGACGCCGAGGATTCTGATGCTAGCTGAGGCAGCAAGATGAGTGCCTTCAAACTGAGGAGATACGACTAAGAGGTTCTTTTTAGCGGTTAACGCGCAAACTTGTGTTCCAGAAGGAAGACGAACTAGTTTCTCGCCAATTCTGCCTATGTGCTCTGATTTTGCCTTGGCTATGACTCTTGTAGGACCTGGAAGCGGAATTATACTTCCTTTTTAGAGCGTTGGTGTTTACATCTTGGGACGTTGATGCGTCAGCCCGGGCTTGGTAGCACTCCTTCTTATAGCTTGATGCTATTTTACAGGAGCGACCAACCCATGTTTGAGATCTGCCTTCGATGGGCACCATAGAGGAAGGAATAAAAAGTTCCATACCCTGAAGTACGACGTCAGCGACAGAATCCGCAACAACGTTGGGATCATCCGGCGAGAAGCAAACTCGCCCCCAAGGGTAGGATGCAAAGAAAGACCGCATCCCATCCCAATCGGCTGACCTATAGTGCCAAACACGGCGGCAGCCTGCAGAATGTAACCGCGTTTTCAGCGTGAGTGGCACCACACTCCGAACAAGACAATGGTCCGAGGAGCCTAAAGGGGCGTCGACGGAAATTTGATATCCGTCCGGGTGAGAGGTCAGCAGAAGTTCCAACAGGGAAGGTGAATGATCTTCCACATCTGGAATCCACGTAGGCGAAGTAACCAGTTGTGTCAGACCATATGCCAAGGCAAAATCGTGAACAGATCTCCCCGCATGATCGGTTAAACGTGAACCAAGCCATTCGGCATGGTGGGCGTTAAAATCGCCGAGGATCACGATCTCTGTGGTGGGGATCTGCTATAGCAATGAATCTGTAGCCATTTGGACGTGGTCGAAGAGTTGGTCTTTTTTGGCATTACCGCTATGGGACCTATAGAGGCACCCGTAGACGCGCGGATGGTAGTTGCTGTCTACGCGTAGCCAAAGGATGGACAGGTCCGAACCTTCAATTCTGCCGAGGCGTCGAGAACAGATGTCCTCTCTGACGTATACGCAAACTCCAGCCCGAGGCACAAAGGAGTTTTCCGGTTTGTACACCGGCTAGGAGAGATACGGATCATCAGCCGGAGAGGACACCTGCGTCTCGGTCAGAAAGAGCTGAGCCGGCTCCCGGTCTCGAGATGGTAGTGGACGGTGTTTAGGTTAGAGTGAAGTCCCCTGATATTGCAGAAATTCACGGATAGTGTTGCAGGAGTCGCCTTGGTCTTGTTGCTCAGCTTGCCCCGAGCAGTTGTTGTCTTGAGTGGAATTTTGCCCCCCCCCCCTCATAATACGCGGGGCAGCCTGAGCATCCACGCTCAGGAGTGGAGTAACTTGGTCGTGGATGCTCAGCGAGGGATTCTCCAGGGGTGTTGGTGGTCACAACCCCCTCGTTTACCCAAAACCCGAAGGGTTTCTGGGGTAAATCTTCACTTAATTCCGCTACCATGTTAGGAGGGGGGAGGGGATTGGGCCTCTGGCCACCTGCACTCACCAGACGAACCGCGGAAGCCGAGCTTCCACTTCACGCCGGTATTCTGTGAGGTCGTGGTACCACCCCGGTTTGAGCCGGCCCATACGTGCAACAGCAAGGCTGCCGCGTGGCTCTACCACTTTATATTATGCTGAGTCGGCCTTTTTGTTGCTGTTATCCATTTCTTTTTTTAAATATTTAGTTAAGTTTTTTTTGTTTGTAAAATGAATGTTCTGCAAGTTGCAATACATAAATACGTTGTTTTTTTCTTTTAAGGACGAGGACGATGACGAGGCTGAGGCCGAAGCCGGCGCCGAGCTGGCAACGAGTGCGGCGAGCGCTCCGGCCGACGCCGAGGCTCAGCGCACCGCTGCTACTGAAGCAGACAACTAGTGACTGCAATCTGCATGGCTGCAGTTGGGCGTAGCTAGGAAGGAATATGTTCGGACAAGTCTCCAACTTCACAAGAATAATGATCCCACGTTTTTAGAAGTTTACCAAGAGATTAGAAAGAAATGTTGGCTACCCCCAGCTAGTGATATCCTCTAGTGGTTGAACGTTTGTGTTACATACTCCATAGACGCGGAGGAAGTGCGTGCCGCGAATAAACATTGTAACAAAACAATAGTAACTTTTTAGTTTGGTTAACTTAAGTCTTACACGCAAGTCTATTGACACACTTTTATAGGATGTGTATGTGTGCAAGTGACTGGTGAAACTAAGTGTAAGGGCGCACACACAAATGCTTAGTAAACAAAACAATGTTAGTGTGTAGATAAGTTTGTTTTATTTCATTTAGACTACTGATCAAGGCCATGATTTTAGTTTATACTTGCCAAATAATAAGCAATATCATTTTGCACGCTTTACAAAAAGATCGGATATCATATGCCGCAGCGGCTTGGTTCTTCCACTTAGGGCATATCATGTACATTAGGAATGTCTTCTTCCGATGACTTTTGTCCTAACGGGAGATGTAGACTTGTATGGTGGACTCTAAGCGGGCAGAGTTGTATTTTGGCGGTCTCAAACTGGTTACATTAGTCTCGACCAACGTCTCTCCGCAACAAAAGTGAATCCGTCATTATTGATCTTGTTCCATGTTACAAGAACAGTTGTCGTATCCACACACTTTTGTTGTGGACCACAAGAGGGTGCTGGACGAGAAGCTCTCAAATAATATTCCGCAAATGATTTCCTTGTCGAGATGTCGTCTGCGGGAAAGCATCCCAACACGCAGACATGGACAGGAGTGGTGATGCATGGGCGACTCAAGTGGCCTTAGTTTAACGGTCATTAACTCGCTAACATGTTGTCGAAATCATCGTTGTACATCCTGTTCCTTATATAAAAATATAATTTTTACTCCCTTTATAAAATGTTACCTCTACACTAGCATTTTCTCCTTCATCATGGCGGTTTACATACATAAATTTCATAAGGACAAATATCTAAGCCGGAGCAATTATTTGTAGGCCGTGCATTTTATACGTGGTAGAGCCAGGCTGCAGCTATATTACGGTTGTAGCACGAATAGGTCGGCTAGACTGGGGAAGGACTACGCTCTCACTGAATACCAGCGTAAAATAGCAGCTTAATGCTGCTGTGTTTCGTATGGTGAGTGCAGAGATTCGGAGACCCTTTTTAGGGTTCCGTAGCCAAATGGTAAAAATCGGAACCCTTATGGATTCGTCACGTCTGTCTGTCTGTCCGTCCGTATTTCACAGCCACTTTTTCCGAAACTAAGAACTATGCTGTTGAAACTTGGTAAGTAGATGTATTCTGTGAACCGCTTTAAGATTTTCTCATAAAAATAGAAAAAAAAACACACACAAGAACTTTTATATTATGTTACTTGCTGCTACGGAACCCTTCATGGGCGAGTCCGACTCGCACTTGGCCGCTTTTTATTATTCACTGGAAACGTGGCATTCCATCTTAGTCCTCAGGGATGACAACGCATTTGCGTTTTGATTCTTAAGAGCCCTCTTACATTTCGGTGTTACACAAATTAAGGTATTTTACGCTCCGAGCGGGTGACGATCTACGCTAGCGATACTTTATTTCATATAGACTGGAGTGAAATGTACACCTTAGATAACTTGGACGAATCATTATGTTTGTTTTACAATAAAATTTACGAGTGTTTTGATAAATGTGTCTCTCTAAAAAAGAGTAGTTTGATGACGAGCAGATACATATACCCGGTTTGGTATACTGCTGACGTTATTAGGTTTATAAAACTAAAGCACAAATTTCACAAACGATTCAAATCGAGCAAACTGCGCAGTGATTACGAAGAATTCTGGCGATATAGGGCTACAGTTAAAACTGGGAGTATATAAGATTGAGGAAAGGTACATCAGGAAGTAGAAAATTATTTAAGGACGGGAAGGTTTTGTCAGATAGTGAGTGCGCTGGAGAATTCGCAAATTTTTTCCAGTCCGTATACAGCCGTGAGACACCTTTGTTAAGCGTAACGGTGGCTGGTGCTGCGCCGGTGGGCTCAGCTCGGGCGTTTGCGATCAGCTGATGTTCTGCGTGCGCTGTCGCACCTCCCCTCGAAGCGCTCGGTCGGACCAGGTGGTATACCAGCCTTCATATTTAGAGATTGTAGGAGTGTACTAGTGAAACCATTGTTACACATTTTTAATATATGTATTGAAAGTGCTACGTTTCCTGATCAATGGAAGCTCACTAGAGTTGTGCCTGTACCGAAAGGTAATGGGGGATCGACTCCAAGTGACTACAGACCCGTGGCAGTCTTAAGCACTCCAGCGAAAGTGTTCGAGACGGCCATTCACAACTGCCTGTACCCACAGATTAGTGCACAGTTGTCCGACGCACAGCATGACTTCCGCTCTGGGCGGGGGACAACTGGGAACTTACTGGAGCTGATGACGCATCTAGTACCCGCAGTTGATGCTGGCCTGCAGGTGGACGTAGCCTACTTTGATTTCAGAAAGGCTTTCGATGTGGTTGACTACGATGTGTTACTTTGTAAATTGGCTTGTGAGGACTGCACACCTCGCCCGCTATCATTTTTCGCCAGTTATCTGCGAGACCGGAGTCAGTTTGTCGATTACAATGGGCATTTTTCTCGACCATACCTTACCAGATCTGGTATGAGTCAAGGCAGCAATCTAGGACCTTTGTTGTTCATTTTAATGATAAATGATTTGCAAAATGTAGTCACTTTTAGTACTCCATTATTGTTTGCCGATGATGTTAAATTGGTTTTAGAAATTAGAGATAAATCTGATTCTGTTTTTTTACAACATGATATTGATAAAGTTTTAAGATGGAGCATTGATAATAAACTTTTCTTTAATGTCTGTAAATGCTCAGTGCTGTCCTTTAGCCGGTCACGCGCTCCAATCCATCACCAATACGTGATGGATGGGAAACTGCTTCATAGAGTTAAGGAGGTTAAAGATCGCGGTCACTGCAGGCTTAACTTTCGGATTACATGTGAGTAATGTTTGTATAAAGGCATAGCGTGACCTCGGACTGATAATGCGTCTTGCAAATAATTTCACAAACGTCAAGGCTCTCAGAGCGCTATATGATGCACTCTAAGGAGCCACTTAGAGTGTAACGCCGTCATTTGGGCTCCTCATGAAGTCAAATACAAATTTATGTTAGAGCGAATCCAAAATAAATTTATTAGATTCATGTACTTTAAACTATTTGAAATATACCCGGGCTATCCCTTGTTGTATCCTACTCTATTTTTGCTCGGTATGGTAGGATACTACAAGCTCGAAGTCTGAAGATAAGTAGCTCTCGCTATGTACGTGTTGAAGGTGATGAGAGGTAAGATACACAACCCGAGAGTGCTGGAGGTGGTGCGACTCAATGCGCCGAATGGGTGTACGCGGCGGCCGCCGTTACTGGGCGGTGCCGCGCGCGCACAGTGTGATCAACGCCATGTCGGAGCGAACTAATTTGTTTTCATGTTCGCTGAGTGAGCTCAGTAGAGTGGCATATGGTATTGTATCGTTGGATACACTGTCGAATTAGTGTGCTCATCCTGTAATGACTGTGTATGGTGTACGTTGAAATAAAGAAATAAAATATCTCTATTCACTCGCTCGCCCTATGATACTGTGAGTATAGCGACCAAACGATCTTGATCTTCCATTATACAAATTTTCTTAGGATGGAGTTCAGTGGATGGAAAATTTTTGGTGTGTTATTTTTATATTATGTAATTAATTTATTATAATCTATTTGATATATTTGTCATTATTTATGAACCTTAGCGTTGAAATAAGTACAGATAAATATTTAAATTCTTTCACAGTAATCTATTGTTATATATTATTATAGTATATAATTATATATATATATATATATATATATATATATATATATATATATATATATATATATATAATGGAAATAAAAATAATATTTTTTCAAACTATATTATGATTTTTAATTTTTAAATTGTTACTTGTCATGGATGCTCAAGCCATAGGGGTCGCGGTCCGGGTAAGACAAGAAACAAATGTGTGAATGTGTAAGATGTTTATAAGAAACATGTAAGGCTACAATTAAGACAACACAAAGCAAACAACTAGATAATCCTCAAGCATAATCTACATTACTATTAGCTCTAAAATAGGTAAGCACTTAATACTTAGCAAAATCTAAAGCTACACATTAACTGCAAAATAAAATTACAAACAACGAAACATAAAATTTACTATTAGTTCTTTTATTACGTACATGAGAGCATAAAATCATTATAAAATTTTATGAATTATAAAAGTAAAAGGGGAAAACAATAAAAAACTAAATTTAAAAGAAAAGGGAAAACAATAAAAAAAAAAACAAATATTTCTACTCGAGGCTCGAACCAGCAACCTTAGGAAGTCGCCCGATGCGTGTATTGCCGCTCTAAGTAATAGGCTTTACTTGTCGACACGATTCGTCTCAAATAAAGATATAGTATTGGCTTTCACTGTCCACATCTTTTAAAACAAATACATTTTACTGATAACACTTCATATCAGAGATGCAGAAGGCGCAATTGACTTAATTAACTTGATGGGCGTTTCCATAAACTGAAATAATTGCACAATCTAAGAATACTGTTCCAGGATTACTCGGACTACCAAACAACGTATAGTATTAAACACTTACCCCGTTGCACTTATAAAAGTGCGAAGTAAGAGTTTAATACTATACGTTCCACGAATATAAGCTTCTATTTAAAATATACGAGTATAAGGTTCACTGATACACAGTCTTAATATATTTAAGCATACTTATACGCCTTTAAACTTTAAATGTCTGACGAGAATTACCGCTACGTCGTACTATCATTTATTCTGTCGCCACTCGTCGCGAACCTCCCCTTACCCGTTCGTCCCCAGTTCCTACCC